TCTCTCTCTCAAATAAATAAATAAAATCTTTAAAAAAAAAAAAAAGAAAGAAAACTATAGGTAACTCACAGCATATTTTCATAATTTCAAAAACTCCTAACATGGCCAACATACCTGAGATGATAGCCTGCTGGTCTAACTTTTCGAGAAGAGTGTTTCTGATGTCCATCTCCCCAGCCAGAGAGAAAGTATAAGCGAGGAGGGCCTGTGTGTAGAGGCTGGTAGTGGAGGAAACCGAGCCCCTGAGGCACTGCAGACCCTGACTCACCATCGGGTCCTGGAAAGTGAGAGGAAGAACTGAATTTATAAGGCCTTCCTTGGGAAATGGGAAGTGATAAGGAAGTCATTACATCCTTTTTGAGTTTACAACGGTGAACAGGGATTAAAAGTCGGTGAATTCCTCTAGAACTAGGTGCAGTAAGAAGGATATAAAGAGGAGGAGCTAGAGACACTCACATGTGTGGTCTTTCCCATCTCCAGCAATGCAGCTGTGAGGTACGCTGTCAGGGAAAGCTCATCGCCAACGCCGCCCTAGAGGGTGCCGGGGAGACTCGGTCAGGGCCACAGCCAGCACAGTGTATGTAAGAATTGTGTGCAGTTTGCAACACTGTGTGCGTCCCCTGAATGGGTGGATTACTTCAACAAATGAGGAGATAAGGAGAAAATCTCTTCTTCTCAGGTTCTTACTGAATCTGAGCCTCCTCAAACGGACATCCTCTCAAGAAGGAAAGGACCAGCCTATTCTCCAGGAGAGATTCGGTGACACCTGCCCTGTTTAATGCCTTTCACGGAAAGATATTAGCAAGTTTTTAAAAACAGCTAATCTAGGGGCGCCTGGGTGGCTCAGTCGTTAAGCGTCTGCCTTCGGCTCAGGTCATGATCCCAGGATCCCGAGATCGAGCCCCACATCGGGCTCCCTGCTCTGCGCGGAGCCTGCTTCTCCCTCTCCCCCTCTCTCCCCGCTGTGTTCCCTCTCTCACTGGTCTCTCTCTGTCAAATAAATAAATAAAATCTTTAAAAAATTAAAAATAAATAAATAAATAAATAATAAAAACAGCTGATCTAAATTGTCATCCTCATCCTATAGGTAAGAAAACACGAACACTTGAAAGGTTAAATGGCTTGCTCGAGATGACACAGCTAGTAAGCAGCAGGACTAGGATTTGAACGCGGGGAGTTTAATTATGGAGCTCCTGCATCACACCACTAACCTTGCTACACAGGTGATGGGTTTCTTAAAAGACTGGCCGGGTCTGGTAAGAAAGGAAGAGGAAAGACCTCTGGGATCTTGGAGTCAAGCCCTGGCTTGCGCTCCTCCCATGTGTATTTCACACAGTGTGTAAGAGGAGAGAGCCTTGGAGGGCACGGATAAAATCTTGCGTAAGGAAAACTAATGAATTCCATACAGAGACTTTTTTTTTTTTAATGCTCAAGATTTTTAATCCAGGCCCTGGAACAGCAGTGTAAATGATTTCTCTAGTAACATACACACAAATCTTTCTTTCACTGGGTATATTCTGAATTGAACAAATTCTCTGGAAGCATCAACACCTCACCCTGTGTTTGGGAAGGGGGGTAGGGGCAATGTACTGAACAGGCCAGAGCAGGGCCTCTGGAGTCCAGTGGCTGTGGTTCAAATGACAGTCCTACCATGCATTAGCATTCACCTTGGGCGATTCACTTAATCTCTGCACATTAGTCTCTTCATCTGTAAAATGGGATTAATAATGGCATACCAGCAGCTAGCTCATTAATTTGTAAACATTAAATAATATCAAATAAACGAAGTGCTTAGAACAGTGCCCAGCACATAGTAAACCTCTTATAGAAAACACTGGGCTGCCTATCAGTCCTCCCCAGAGCAGATGGGCTTGCTGCAGATTTAGGGAGATAGTAAAAACCCAGAGAACTTCTGTTTTGTTTTTTTTTTTTAAAGATTATTTATTTATTTATTTATGGGCGCCTGGGTGGCTCAGTCGGTTAGGCGACTGCCTTCGGCTCAGGTC